AAGTTAAATTATAATGCTATATAATGTGTTCAAAGTCCTTCACCTTGTTTCATTACATTCATTTATTTATTTATTTTATATTAATTTATATATTTATTCATTATGTTACAATTAGTCCCCAAGACCAGGTGATCTTACACATAATAAAATAAACCCAATATTGGTATTTCTCCATCAGAATATAACACCTCACTAAATTAGCACTCTGAAAAACACAAGTATGATATAAAATACCCTTCAACAGTCAATACTCCAAATTTTTCATAAGGTAATTCTATGGCTAATTCTATTCCCCTGGATGTTTGCCTATAATAATTCAGTCATGAAGACTATTAACTGAAGCACTCTGCTATAATAATTGCTACTAATAAATAGTTTCTATCTAAGGACATATCTAAACATATCCAGGGTTAGACAGAGCTTTATAATAAATAAGGAGGCCTCCAATGGCACCTAAGGAGTCCAAAATACTGGATTTACTTTAAAAATCAAAAACACTCCCTCATTGTAGAAAATTTCTACATTTTCAATTAACATTTTTATAAAGCATATCCTATTAATACTAACTTATAGAATTGATAAGCTTAAATTAATATATGTACTGTACTTGTCTTTTTCAATAGTTTCTTGATAAATAGTAAATTGGTCCTGCATATAGTCTTCATGTTTATGAAAAACATCACATGTTGGCTTCCAGCTATGGAAAAAAAATACTGTAATTAGCATCTCAGAATGATAAACAAATTGTAAGAGATAATAAAAATGAATGTAACCACTTAAAAATAAATGAATCTTTCTCTTCCTGGAGAAAACAAGCTTACATCAAGAAAAATATTCCCATCTCTCATCACCACCACTACCACCATTCATGCAATCATACAATATGCTCAAACATCAATATCCATGAATTTTTACATAAAACCTGCTTTGGGATCATGACCAGGAAAGGAATAAATGTGACATGGCTGGACTGTGGCATTTCTAGAATATACTCTGCAACACTCCAACAACAGGCTTTCTTTCTCATCTTACTTCTAAGATCTTGCCTAAGAAATTCTTTTGGAGTAAGCATTCAAAAAGCTAGGATAACGGTAAAGAGAGGCTTTTTCCCCTTTAAAACTTAGAAAGTTAGGTTGTTACACCCTTCTGAGCTAGAAAGAAAGAAACTAGGCCAAAATGAATTATAAAATCAGATAGTAATAATAAAATGAATATTCATATTATACATTTTTTGTTTTATGACTCCAAAAATGTTACCAACGTAAAAAATCTAAAGTTAGCACACACCATGGCAGCTTCCATTCTAAGTATTGTTCAAATACTTCCTCTAGCTCTTTTTTCCTAATTTTTTTTATATTTTCAGATTCGGAAAGTATACATGCCCACTTTGGAAGCACAGAAAAGAATATGTAAGAAAATAACTATCGTCCATATTCTTAACACTAAATAATAACTACTATTATTGTTTTAATAAATTGTTTTCCAGATTTTACTATAAATATATATTTTAACATCTTTGAGATCATATTCACATACAACAACGTATCCTCATTTAACACTTGCTTTTAAATCATACACATTTTCCTTGTCACTAAGAATTCACTGTAAAGGTTTTTTTTGTTTTTTTTTTTTTATAAAGATTTTATTTATTTTATTTTTTCCCCCCAAAGCCCCAGTGGATAGTTGTGTGTCGTAGCTGCACATCCTTCTAGTTGCTGCATGTGGGACTCTGCCTCAGGACGAACGGAGAAGTGGTGCCTCGATGCGCACCCGGGATCCGAACCCGGGCCACCAGCATCGCAGCGCGCACACTTAACCACCAAGCCACAGGGCCGGCCCATGTAAAGGTTTTAACACATACATCATATTCCATAATTTATCTAACCATTCCCATATTCTTACCCATTTTTGCTTAAGCTAAGTTTCTCCATTGTAAACAGACGTTAAACATCTGTCTACTCTAATCATTTCCTTAGAAAATATCCCCCTAAAATGGAATTATAAGATCAAAGGTTATACATACATACTTTCTGAATACTAAAAAATTCCATAAGTAATACATGTTCACTGAAAAGATATTCACTGTAAGCATTTTGATGTACATATTTCCAGACTTTTTCTAATTATGTATAAATATACAATTACTAAATTGGGTTCATACTATGAATGTTGTTTCATTGCTTTGTTCAATTTGTAATATACTGTTAACATCTTTCCGTCAATAAATATACACATATCATAATTTTATTGGCTGCCTCTTGTTCATTCATACTGATATATCAAAATTCATTTAACCAATCACCTAATGTTGAACATTAGAGATGCTTCCAATGTTTTCCCGCCAGAAAAAAGGCTGAAATAAATGCCTTGTCGGACATCACATCTTTGAGAGAATACCTAATTATTTCCTTATGAAAAATTCTCAGAAATGGAACCGTTTAATCAAAAGTCATGCTTATTTTTAAAGCTTTTTAAGAAGTATACTGACATGTCATCCAAAAGGTCTATACCAGCATATATTCCTATAGTGTATGAGAGAGGTAATTTTATTATTCCCTAGCCAACACTGGGTATTATCTTTCTTTAAATTTCTGCAAAACTTAAAGGCAAAAAAAAAAAAAGCATTTTATTATTGCTTTAATTTGGATGTATTTGATTATTAGTAAGACTGAACATTTCTTCACATTTATTCAACACATATTTCTTCATTTTGATATTTACCTGTTTACCATCTTTGCTCATTTTTCTAATGGGGCTTTTGCTTTTTCTTATTAATTCCCACAAGTACTTTATATTTTTAAAAATTAACCCTTACTTGACATTTTTCCTACCTTATCATTTTGCCTTTTATATCATTTTGGGATGTTTTTCTCTTTAATTTGTATATAGTCATGTTTATCCATTGTTTCCTATGTGGTTCTACCTTTGGTGACACACTTAGAAAGTCCTTCTTCTCTTAAAGATTATATAGTCACCTATATTTTCTTCTAGTACTTTCATGAATTCATATTTCACATTTAAATCTCTTAACCAGCATGCTGAAATCATGAACTAGAGATCTCCATCGTATTAAATCAACAGATCCTACTAACTGTCCTCAGAACCTAGCAGAGAGTAAGCTTGTATAAAGTACAGTACATTTGGACACAGCAGGTTCTAAGTGGAAACTATCAGTACTTTTCCAGCACCCATTGCAGCTAATTGAGGGAAACCACTGGTAAAACCTACTACAACAAAATCTAAATGAAAATAATAGAAAAAGTTCAACATATAGCTTTTTGTTGATCAGATTGCCAAAAAATTTAAACATTGATAATTCCATTGTTGGCAAGGGTGTGAGGAAATAGGAACTCTCATACATTATTGGTGGGACTATAAATTAGTATAATCTTTTGGAGCACAGTTTGGCATTATCTATCAAATCTTTAAATGTGCATACTCTTTGATCTAGCAATTTCACTTCTAGGAGTTCATTCTACAGCAATAGGTCTATAAATGTGGAAGGATTATCTGTATATGTTGCTTATAACAGGGAAGAACTGGAAACAACCTAAATGTCTATTAATTGTTAAATGTTAAATATCATCAATACTATAAAATACTATGCAGCTGTTAAAAAAGAATAAAATCTATACATAATCATTACATGTACAGTATCATTTACGTTGTACATTCTTAAATTAAAAAAACAATTTGACGAATAAGTATAGGGTAAGCGTGGGGACTGCAGTCAGGGAAAAACTTTTCACTCCATACATTTGTATAGTTTTTTAATTTTTATACTAGGTATGTGCTACTTTTATAAAATGTTAAATGTATAAAAAATGTAATGGGGAAAAACCAAAAAGGCTTATTAAAATTTTTAATAACAAAATATTTTAAAACAAATATTCTAAATTATAGTACTAAATACAAAGACAATGGTCCACATAAAATTAAATACAGAAAACTGACACATTTTATTTCTGTAAGTATTTGTAATATACAATAAAGCTCCATTAACAAGTCTTTGTTTCAAAATGTTTATGTCTTATAATAGATTTAACTATTAGAATCCAGAACCTGAAGCCATGTTGAAAGAATTCTTAACATATTGAATACTTTTGTTTTGAAAAGCTACTATTTTTAGGTTAGATTCCCTTAGACCAAATTAAGATCTTGACAATTCAAAGACGGAAATTACTTCAAATTTATTTATCTAATAGGAATTTTATATTCTGAGCCTAGATTCTTCAAAATTCTGTATTTAGACTAATTCGATCTGAACTAGAAAGATCTTATAGTACTTCTATCTTTCAAACTTCCTGTGAGCCCTTTTCACGGTGGCATGTAACAGGCAATCTAAGACTTGATTCATCATTTTTCTAACATAAAATACTACTTTAAAACAACAGTGTCTTCAACTATAAACTCAGAAACCTTGAATAAAATCATCTACTGAGAATTACTGAAAGTTCACTTCTTTCAAATACTCACTTACTACAGTTGTCTTTGATCTCCTTACTATGTTTACAATAATGACCAATTTCCTCATCTGTTGTATTTATAGTTTCGTGTATCTTACAAATAGTTGCTTTGTTTTCTTTAATATCTTCAACACATTCTGGAAAGAAGAAATATTTATTTTCTTAAGGTAGGAATCATAATTTGTAATTACATAATACGTATGTAATATGCAATTTGCTTTGCCATTTCACTCATAATATTATTTTTCAGAATTATTATTCCTGAAAATGTGGCATCCATCAATCCTGGCCCCCGACTTTTGGTGATTTCTAAAAAGATTTAAAGTTTTTACTCAAATATTTGAAATAACCTGTGTGATTTGAGAAAAATAACATATTTTCAACTGCACAATTTAATTAAGAGGTCGTTTCTGCCTAAAGCAAAATTCTTCAACACAAAATAACTAAATGCCGAATACAAAAATTTATTATTGAAAAACTGTAGTTAGGGAAAATAGCTCATTACTAGTCACTAGATAGAACTGGCACAAAAGTTATAAGGCCAACTATAAGTTACTCTAAACAAGTCAAGTGCATATTATCTCATATGTCATAAAAATTTAAAAACTAAAATATCTTTATCATGCAAAACTACTTACTATTAATTCGTTGAATCATATCTTCTTTAGTACTTATATCTTGCTCATACTGGAAAACTAAAATAAGTAATTCTTTTGTGACTTCACTGTTAAAACGTCAAGTGATAATACAAATAGTTATCTACTTTATTTTCATTTTATACCTACCAAATTCCAGCAAAAGTCTGTCCAAACTGACAAATAGGTTGTCATTCATCTTGGATACTACGTTAAAAGAAAAAATTGTAAGGCAGGGTTTTCTAAGTCGTATGCAAAACAGCACATATTCAGTGTCAACCTTTTTAACGCAGCATTATGAGAGAAAAATGTGGGTGGAGCTAGAACCGGGGAGGGCAGAGACCCTTTCAGCCCAGTACTGGCTAGTAGGCACGTAGTAAATACTTATTGAATGTCGTCGCAAGACTGAAACTTGGTGGCCAGGGAGACGTGGTACTGCAGTTAAGTCACTGCATATTCTGGAGTTCACAGACACCCAGATTTCTCAAAAGCATATGCCCTTTAAAATAAATAATATCTCTGAACACGTCCTTTCTCGATTAGCAAGATTCCTAAAGAAAGTCCTACACCAACAGCGAAGTAAATCCTACAGGTACAGCGCAATTTTACACTTACGAGTTTACCCCCAAGCATCCCACCAGCGGAGGCGTTCACAGGACCGCCAGCCGCACTCCACCATCCGCCGGAGGCGGGGCTCCTGGCACTCGGTACCGCACAGGCAGAGCCCAGGCGGTGCTCTTCCCGCGCCTTTTGAAGCGCGAAGCTCGCTCGCGGCTAACACTCCCACAGCTAACCGCTTCCCCTCACCCGAGCCCGCCCCCGACACTGCAGCCCCGCGGCGGCGCCCAGCTTCGGGTGCCCCTGTGGCCCAGGACGAGGCCACGCGCCGGGAAGCGCCCGGAACGCGAGCTCCGGTCGTACTCCAGGGACAGGGCCTGCCCGCCCCTCAGAACCGCCTGCCCAGGGAGTAACCGCCACACACAGCTCCCTTTCCCACCCACCTCAGCCGCCCCTCCGGGCCTCCAACGTCCACGCCCTTCCTTGCCCGGATCCCAGACTCCACTTGGGGTCCCCAGCTCAGGGGTCGCAACAGCAGATCCCGACACTTACGCCCGAAGCCCCTCTTCCGCCCCGCCCAGCCCTGCGAAGCCCGCGGCGGGAGCGACAGATCGCGCGGAAGAGCGAGATCTAACTCCCCGCGAGACCAGCACCGCGGCGATCCCCTGTCCTCCCGCGGCGAAGCGGGCACCCGGCACCTCACAAGCCCAGAAGTGGGTGCTGGAGTCGGGGAAAAGCCCTGAAAGGAGGCGTAGGGAACCTGTCAGGGACTCTCCCGTTGCCTTGAAGACGTGTTTTTTTTTTTAAGACTATTCATTCCTCTTGTAACATAACAGTTTAAAAAATATTTTGGAGAACAGCAATAAAATTGATATTAATTTGAACGTGATAGTAAAAAACACTCGCATCAATCATCAAAATTCAATTTTGCATTCAGCATTTTTGAAAACTTCTTGAAAAGCAAGCATAAGAATTCAAATACATTTTCATTCAACAAACATTTTGAGTGACTCATTTGTTTAGTTTCAAATAAAATGCACATTAACATTTTCTGTCCAAAATGCTGTCTTTAGATAATTTATGCTCTTAGAGTGTCTACACATCCAAAGGGAAATAAAGAGTGGAGAAAAAGTAATTTAAACAAATCAATTGCCCAAATTGCCTTAATTATTGGTATATTCCTGGTGAAAATATTTTTAATACTAAATGATCTAAATAATTGCCTCAATTCACCACCACCCAAGTTGCTTCACAGATTATTAAAATGAAAAAAACTTTCTGAAGTTTTTCTTGCTTAAGTCTTCAGGTCATATACGTATAATCAATTTTATCATAATGTGATGTAAGGTTGCTCAGTAGTTAGTAGTAATGATAGTGAGCCATCAAAGCTAAGGTAGGTTTGATGACATAAGAGACTTAGTAGCTTTATTCTTATATTTGTTTATATTTATTAACTATCCCTTTTTAGGAAGGCATGAGAGAATGAACATGAAGGCTAAAGTTATAATTTTGTCTTGTTGGCACTACATTGCTATGATTGTCAAGCAAATTTGATAGGTCTAAAGAGTTGATCCACTTCAACTTAACAGATTTTCTTATAAAATTTGTGGAAACCTAGAAACACCATCTCACTGAGACCTGAAAATCAATTATTTGCATTTAAATTCACATCTATGTATACCCTAATTACTCTCACAAAAATATACGTGAGTTCTACCAACACCACTACCACCTATCCCATTCCAAAAATCCTTTCTGGAAAAGCAATAAAGATGAAGATGTTCCATCTACTGGAGAGTTTTAAATAATAAACTTTATTCTCCCCTCTAAATCCCCCCAATGAAATATAGGGCTCCATTTGAAAAATTATAGAATGTTGACTTAGGTAAACATTTATCCTAACAAATCATTTTCTGGGACAGTACTCCGATATAAATCTCTCCCTACCTATTATTAGCACCTTCCCCTCTTGCCCCAGACATGCAGATCAGAATCTGAAGAAACTCTATTTAAACCTGCTGGCTGTTGTAACTGCACTGTATTCCTTTTCTTCCCTTTACTGCTAAATTTATCCAACATAAAGCATGTCTCCCACCCACAATTCCTTTCCACCCCTTTCCTCATTGACTTTTTCAACTCAACCGCTAGCCCCACCACATTTAACTGCTTTCTCAGGTAATTAGTAAAATATTTTTACTCCAAATCTAATGGTCTTTTCTCAGTGTTACTCTCCGCTCTTTTTGTTTTTCTCTCTCTTCTATATTTGGTCCCATTAAAATTCTCTGCAACTCTGACTTCCAAGACACTATTCTCTTCTAGTTCTCCCACCTCTTCTACCTGCCCTTCTGATTTTGGCTTCTACTTCTTTCCCTCTCACCATCACTACCCAACTGTGGACTCTTATCAAAGCTATTTCTTCAACTCTACCCTTCTCTCTACTCTTTTCTTTAGATTTTTCATCCATAATGGCTTCAGTTATCACTTCTGTTCTTAAAACTCCCAAATCCATATTTACAGTTCTATCATATTATCTGAGAGTTACCCAAATATTTACATGCTTTTCCATCGATCTGATCCAAATCCAAAATTGTCCCTTCCTCTCTCTCTAACATACCTGTCTCAGTGGCACAGTAATTCTCCCAAAAATCAATACGTGAAAAGTTGCTATCTTATATGACTCATTACTCCCTTCATCTCTTATAAATAATTATTCACAAAGTCTTATTGATTTTTTCTTTGATATATCCCTTGTAGACATCCAATCAACTCTATAAACAGTCTTTGTAGTCAGATATGGATTGAACTTCTGGTTCTGTCATTTGTTAAGTCAAAACTTTGAGCAAATTTCTAACCTAAGCTTCAATTTCCTCAAATATAAAGTGAAAATCAACAACATTTTGGCTTCTAAGACACAGTATTTATCTGATTGTTCTCCTATCTCTAATAATTTGTCTATCTCCTCTTTCAGACTCTTCTTCTACTCACTCATTAAATGTTATAAATATCTTAGGCTCAATCCTAGCCCTTTTCTCATTCTGTACTCTAAGTAATCTCATTCCTGTTCACAGCTTCCAATACAATCTGTAAACAGATGACTCACAAATGTACGTCTCTAGCCCAGACCTCTAGTATCAATCCAAGTCCTTAGTGGCAAACAACAGAAGTTGATTCTGGCTGATTTAAGCAAAAACAGAATTTGTTAAAAGGATACTGCATGTCACAAAATCCTCAGAATAGCTAGAGAACCAGGCTCAGAGGTAACAGAGCAAGGAGCAATGCCCAAACTTATACCGTAGAACTGGTGGTCAAGATACCGTAACCACAACCAAGCACTAACAGCTGCATCTCACACTACCACCACGAGCACAAAATGCTTCTGTTACCACCACGACCACAACTGCTCTACAAATTTGATCTTATTTCAACTGCCAGAGGGGATTCTCTAGACAATTCTTTGTGTCACTTACTCCCTATTCAAATTTTTGGGTGGGCACACTGATTGGAGAAGCCTAGGCTACATGTTCCATCTATTCTTCCTCTCAGACTGTTAAGGCAGGACATCCTCCAAACATAAGAAGTGGATTTAAGTGCTGGAAAGTCAAAAACAATAGCGACTTTCATGATAACCTATCCTCTGAGTTCCAGACCCATACATCTAATCGCCTCCATGATAAGCCAAATACAACTTCTGTTTTTTCCCCCACCAACACTAGGCCTTTTTCATTATCTCTCTTTTCATGAATGGGACCAGTATCTATTTGTACATACCAGAAACCCAGGCATCATCTTGACAATCTTCCTCTCCTGTCATCCCCCATATCTAATCTATCACAAATCCTGCCAGTTTTACCTCTTAAATGTCTTTCAAATCCATCTATTTCTCTCCATCTCAATTGCCACCATCTTAGTCCAAGTTACCATCATTCTCTCACCTAAATTATTGTAATAGTTTCCAAACTGGTTTTGCTGCATATCTACTCTGGCCCTCTTGTCCATTCTCCAACCATCCTTTGACAGAATGATTCTTAAATGCAATTTTTTGTGTATGTGTGTGAGGAAGACTGGCCCTGAGCTAACATCTGTTGCTAAGTTTCCTCTTTTTCTTGAGGAAGAGTGGCCCTGAGCTAACGTCTGTGCCAATCTTCCTCTATTTTGTATGTGGGACACCGCCACAGCATGGCTTGATGAGCAGTGTGTAGGTCCGCACCTGGGATTCAAACCCACAAACCCTGGGGCCGCCAAAGTGGATCCCGCGAACTTAACCACTACACCACTGGGCCGGCCCCCTTAAACGCAAATTTAATATTCTGTCTCTCTCTCCCTTTTCCTCTTCCTCTCCCTCTTTCTCTCTCTCTCTCTCTCTCACATACACACACACACACTTTAAAACACTTCAGTGGCTTCCTGTTGTTCCGAGAATAAAGGACAAAATTCTTACTCTGCTTCTTCATATTATACCAACTCTATCCTCCCTGCAATCCAGCCTTACAGACCTTCTTTCAGTTCTTACCATGCTCCTTTCCATCACAGGGACATTGCACTTGCTGGCTCCTCAGCCTGGAATGCTCTTAACCTTCTTCATTTGATAACCTCCTGCTCATTCTTCAAATCTCAACTCAAGTATCACAGCCTCAGCAATGCCCAC